CGCCCGAGGATCAGACCGTGATTTGTGACAAAGTGTATCTACAATTTTTTTTAAAGTAATTTATTTATTTTTGAGATAGAGTTTCACTATGTCACCCTCAGTAGAGTGCTGTGACATCATAGCTCACAGCAACCTCCAACTCTTGGGCTTAAGTGGTTCTCTTGTCTCAGCCTCCCGAGTAGCTGGGATGACAGGCGCCCGTCACAATGCCTGGCTATTTTTTGTTGCAGTTGTCGTTGTTGTTTAGCAGGCCCTGGGCCAAGTTCCAACCCACCAGCCTTGGTGCATGTGGGTGCTGCCCTAACCGCTGAGCTACGGGACCCTATCTGAGATTGTTGATAAACTTTTATCTTTCTTCCTGTGACATGAGTTTGCTTCATGAGAACTCAGGATAAAAAACAAAGGTCATTAGTTTTTTCTTTGGGGGGTGCAAATTCTATACAGATAAAGGAACAGCTTCATCCTGTGTTTGGGAGAAAGAGAGAGAACAGAACACAGGAGGGGAAGTCAGACCTACCTTCTTCTCTCTGTTCTCTGATGTTAAGATTTTGGGATATCACTTTCTAAATCCCAAGACAAGAGTGTCCCACATTTTCAGAATGATTTCTGCCTCCCCAGAGTGTTAGATTCCACTTCCCAGCCATTTCCTTAAGGCTGGTGTAATGCCATTTACCTGTGGATCTGCCTTCTGTGTTATTTTTGTCAAGTAGGTAATGGTTTGATCATTTGTTTATAAGGTGGAAAGAAAAAAAAATAGAGCATTAAGAAATCTTCCTCTCGATTACCCTCATTATTTTGCAAAATAGTCTAATTATCATGAAAAATCTCTGCTTTTGAAAAAAAAAAAAAAAAGAAAACGAGAACTGTTTGCCTTCTTGAACCCTGTGGATCTGGGGATTCTTTTTCTTTGGAAGAATAATTCTGAGTCAACTTCTAAAATTGTTTCTAAGGCTGATTGCTTTGTCGAGGTTCTCTACCTCTTCTTGAGTCAGTTTTGACAGGTGTTCCCCTGAGATCATGGCCTGCCCCATCCAGTTTTAGAATTAATGACTGTGGTTACGGAAAGTGCAGTGCCATCGTGGGCTCTGCCAACTTCCCCACACCCAACTCCTTTTTAGGGATTAATTAGCTCCCTCATTCCCCAGTTTTCTTCCTCATCAACTCTACTTTGATTCTCCAATTCCCCAAGCAAAGGAATTTCAAAACGTTTCTTTTTTTATCAAACGTTAAGACCTCTCACAGTGAAATAC